AACAAATAACAATTATCGATCACATGTAATATAAAACTTGATTGTCTATTCGTTTATAGCATTTAATTGAGATCGATTTCAGTTTAAATTCGATTTTGGCTTGAAATATTTATTTAAGTTAATCAAATATTTATCCATGTGATATCGATTAAAATTTTTTAAACTTAACTTAAATTCCTTTCATATTTCATAGATAATGGGTTCTACCATTTAGCTGATCATAGTAATAAATGACATCATAACTATATACCTCAGTTTCACTTCTAATATTGAAGATTATGAAGTTATCGATAACAAATGATTACGACTAAGCTGATTATATATTTCCCAATGTGATTGCAATCAAATTTGAATTAGATTTCAAATTAAATTTATTAAAAACTTTAGCTAGAATAAGACTTGAATCGAATTTGATTGCGCCCGAGTAATCGATAACAAGCCAGCTGCTCCAATTTATCAAAAAGTTTCTTCTTATGAGCTGGTCACACCCGTCATAAAAACGATATCAATTTCGAGCCTCATTTCAATTTTACTTAAATGCTTTTTTATGTGACATCTTCTGTTTTTAAATAGGTAGAGTCTGCTTAGTGGTTGGCCTTTAGGGGAATACCCTTCGTGTTTTTTCAGTTTGACTTAAAATAACGGCAATAGTGCAGTTCGCTAAAAATGAAATATAATGTAAGAAATTAAGTGGGTATAATAATTTAATATTTAAATACTTATATTCCTAATACAATTTCTATATGTAGGGTATGTTTGGCTCAGATTGACATCCGCTCGAATAATTTTCTCATTTGGAATGATGTGAATAGAAAAAACTGCTTGCTTATATATATATATACATATATATAACGATAATTTGAAAAGGCCCATCTGTGCTCATTTATCAAAAACAGACAACGACAAACCTTTAGCCAAGTTTCCAAGCCATGGCCACGTCTCGGCCGGGCGCGGCATCGGCAATGGCAGCGGCTTATCAATTGCATTTGGAGCCCTGGGCCGCATTTGGCTCCATAAGTTGGCAAAAGTGCTAGCTAAAATGGAGGGAAATAGAAAATCTAAAGCATTTAACTTGCAATGACAGCGGCACCCAAAAACCCAGCAGCTAATGGTCAAAACTTATCGTCAAACTTAAATGGGATTTTATTATCGCAGCCAAAACTTCTTTTCATATGCCACGCAGCAACATTAGCAGCAGCAGAGGCGGAGTCGAAAAAAATATCATAAAAGTGGGCGAGGTCTGAGAGTTTTTGCAAGTTGGTGTCGTGGGGGCGTGTCACATAGCTTTTTTATAGTCACCAACATTTTTTCTCTTTGCGACGGCTAATGTGCTGATTTATATAATAACCATAATTCTGATGTAATTATAATGCACTTGGTTCTCATAGTTGTTGCGGTCGGTTGTTCCGTTTGTTCTGTTGTTGTTGTTGTTATTTTTCTATTTATTTGGGGCAGCCTTCATAAGTTTTTGTGGCAAGTTGCACTTGTCAAATTTGCATTGTGTATTCGCTTTTAATTAACCCACGAATTACTTAATTATAAAATAACAATTGCACCATCATAACATAAAGACGCATAACAAACGAGTGCACTTTGCCACGGATCTCAGCAGCACATGTGAGCGCCAGTTGCCGAGTTGCAACTAGGCATCTTGTTGCGGTTTCTGTTTTGGCAATTAATGTCAATCACTTGGCTCCCATACGAATGCCGCAGAGCAGCCCGAAGACACAACGGTTCTAAGCTATGCGAGCAATGCCAGCATGGTACAGCCTGTGTTTTTTCCCCCGGCCAATGATGATGCAGTTCGTCATAATGAGGTTGCGTCTCGTTAGGTGGCAGCTGCAGCTGGGTGAGTGGGCTGCTTGGCAAGCAGGTTGAGCTGCTCCGAACTTCGACAAATTAGAATCCAAACCTTTTAATGTCAAATCAATTAAACATTTTGCCCAAAAATTATGAAGCTCAGCTTCAGAATTTCATCTAAATACAGTCGTGGCTAGCAGTTAGTTGACAGTAAAGTTAGAAGTATGACATTTTACAGCTAAGGTTTCAATAGAAAAGGAGCAAGTTAAATATTTAATTTGAATTAAGCAAAACGAAAAGTAAAAATAGTCTGTGCTACTGCTAACAGCTCTGAGATTGGCACAAATATATTTACACTATACAATATAGTTACACTTAATGTAAAGTATGCCATTAAGTTTGAATGAAACAAATTTCGTTTGTCATGAGCTTAAACTGATTGGTTCTAGCCGAATATGACAGCTAGAACTTGCTTTACATCATAATATTAATACATTTAGTTGATTTGTATTGTGCTTCATAAATTCTAGATGAGAACTAAGTAGTTGACCTCACTTTTCATGTGCACATACTGTACAGTGGCACTGTATGCTAGTTAAATTAGTTAATGAGCGCCGTAGCATGAAAAACCACAGAACCTAAAAAAGAAATAACTCAAAAAACATTAAGAAAAAAACAAAAAAAAAATGCCAGCGAGTTTAAGGTGCGGATGTTGTAGCCGTTGACTTTGAATGCAATCGTAAAGTGGCAACAAATTGCCAACGACACAAGCAACATAAGAACAGCACCAGCAACAACAACAGCAGTTGCAACTAGCTAACATGTTGATACAGTCACAGAAATTTGTTTCTACAATTGTTGGCAACATTGAACTTTAAATGGTAGCAAGAGCCAAGCCAAAGTCACATGTGATTGCAAAAGCAATTGTTGTTAGAACTGCGAACTGCGATTCTGTGTCTATGATTCTAGCCGCAACATTTTGCGTATCTAGTGACAACATCGCTGCCCCAAAAGCAAAGTCGCTGGCACCGCACATCACGTCACGTCACGTCGCGTCGATGATGAGGCATAAAAATCATTTCGATTTGGTTACTGATTTCGTTTGTTTTAATTAAAGTACAACTTAAAAGTCTGTTGCCACAAACAAGCTGCAAACGCTGCGCGACTCGTATTCGAACACCTTGACACCCCACGGCAAGTGCCTCTTCATGACCTTCACTCTTGATAAATGATGGGCGGTTCGAATAGCAGCTCGAAAAAGCGCCAATTGAAATTTGCTACAATTTTAAATTGAATTTCAATTTCAGTTTCAGTCCACAAGCAACAAGGGCTACAACATTTATGTTGGCATTTAAGTGTTATGCCAATTACTAATAAAAGATAGAGCTACAAATTATAGACAAATGAACGTAGCCGAAATGCGCATACACTCGCATGCTTTTTAAAAAATCATTAACTTTTTATGCTTTTGAATACATTTTCAACTGGAGCTTAAACGCACTTTTGTAAAACGCAGTCTACGTTTAGCTCAAGGTTTTCTGATTATTTATAAAACTACATTTTAAAATATATTTAAAAGAAATGGTCGCTCTTCCATTAGTTTAAATAATTAAAAAATAATAATAAATATTTTGCCTTCTAACTCACTAATTGTCAATATTCCATATTATCTATATATCACAGTTTTTAGTAACTCAGTTCATCCTTGCCTATAAGTTAGCTTCTCAGTTTCTCGTTTCACAAGATTCTCCTTTATATTTGGCTCACTTGCTTAATCGCGGAGATGGTAGCTTACTGAATTACAGATGTACACATATCGCAGACACTTAAGAGTTTTTTTATTTCATCTGCTCAGTTCAGCTTATAACCAAGTCAAAGTACTTAGCTAACTGCTTGACATAGCGTATAAACAAGCTTGCTTAACATGAAATGCAAACATAATTCTTCTCTTTGCTTTAATTGTCTACAATGAATTTTTGAATATTACCTGAATATGTTCCACGCATTTTTTCAGTTAATAAACCTTCTCGCAATCTATAAAAAGTGTGCAATATATAAAAATGGCAAGGCGGAAGGCAAAAGGTCAACAACAAGGCTGGAATAATTGTTAACTTTTTAAAATCAAAATTTCGACTCACGCATTTAATGCACAAAGTAGCAAAAAAGCAAAAAAGTAATTGAACAATTACAAAACGTTAAAAGTCAATTATGGATGCAATTGAAGCGTAAACGTTGCGCATCTGCCATTCGAAGGTTTTCCACGGCTCCAATTTCATTGAAAGTTGTGCAATTTGTCAATCTACCGGAACCCGTGTGCTCCTCTTTCGCCGCTCTCCCTCTCCCCGTGCCACATCTGCCTTTGTGTTAAATATTGTTAACGCTTTGTCGCTTGCAAAGTGCGTACTCGTTTTTAATTTTAATTGCTGCTCATTCAATGATTAACTATTTCAATATTTCCCAATGAAAAACATTTGCTAATAAAAAATGCAGGAAAGTTGTTTGTTTTTTTTTTATTTGTTTACAAAAATCTATAAATTATACGAATGTATTTTTGTTATATTGCACATTTGTTGAAGCTTGTTGTTTAAGGTCAATAATTGACAGTACATTTAAGGTTTTCAGTTTGCCAATGAGCTCTGACAATCTTAAATTATAATAATTAAAATTAGTTAAAAGTATAAACGAATAATTTCTCAAATATCTAAGAGCCGAAATGCACAAATATTAAAAAAATTAACTTGCTGTTGAGTTAACGTATAATTAGAGTTTAAACAGAAAATTAAGAACAACAAACAATAAAAGATTGATTAAAAAACAATTTTCAAAATGAAACCAATAAAATAATAACAATAATGATGTCGACTTAAATTTCAAAATATTTTTTGCAATTCTTCTTATAGTAGAGTTGATTTATATAGTTCAAGTACTTTTCAGAATAACAGCCAAAATCTATTTTTATATTTACAATCTTTTATTTCATTAAAATTAATATAAAATATATTTTATTTATTTAAGTTAATATTTTCGCAAAATTTTGTCAAATTTCGTCTTACTAAATAATCTTTGCTTAACACAAATTTTTCGAATGAACTTAATACTAAAACTTACATAACTGTAGATTGCACGTTTTCCCAATGTTTTAGCTGTTTGGGGCTTGGCTTTGTTTTTGCTGTCTGCTGCACGGTTAGATGTGCTCTTGCTCAGTGTGTCGTTGTGCCGCTCTCGAAGCTAACGTCCGCATGGAAGCCCGTATTGTCTGCATGATAAATCACGTTCTGGACGCGTCCATCTGGCAATAAAATGTGATATTGACCGCGTGTCACGCCATGCAAATCCCTATTCTGCTTGTGGCCAAAATCGTTGCCGGTATGGAAATCACGTATGCGATAACCGAAGGCATACTTTGAGGCGTACTGATTCAGCTGTAATGAAGAGCAGACAGGCAACAGGGAGGGAAGGAAGGTTTTTAGTTTAAGTTAGCTTCAGTCCATGCTCATATATATATATATATATATGTATGTTTGGTCTTATGTCGCGCTGATAGGTTCTATTGCCGCAGTTGACAATTCGTGCGCATGCCGAAAAGAGTATGCAAAATGCAAAAATATATTAGGGCAGCTGTCGTCTACAGTGAAGACTGGCAACAAATGCAACAGCAACAACGATGTCAGTTACAAATATGTAGAAAATGTAAGTAGATAAAAACTAAGATGAAGTCTATATACACTTCAAAAATATGTATACAAATATTGAGTATATATGAAAATTAATTTGGAGAGATTTCGGTTTAAAACTTTTGTGATATATTTTTTAAGACCAAAAAACTATATTTAAGTTAGTTCTTATATCAGCAGCCAAGTCTGACTTTTAAGTTATGAACTTAAAGCTGTGCATTTCCGTTGCAGGCGATATATGCGTGGAAAATCGTTATATCGTTAGCACTAGGTGGAAAATTGTTGCGGTGCTTCTTAGTTACAAAAAAGTTATCAATATGAGTGAAAAATCTGAATTTGAATCTGGCAAAATTAATGTTTTTATCTTATAATATTTGCAGGGTTATTTTTAAAGAAAGAAGTCCGCTCTTTATGTCTATTACTATCAAAGACCCATACAGCAATTCATAGGGCATACAAGGACAAAGACAGTGAAGTTTCTGAGTAAGATTCGCGGCTGGCGGGTGGGCCAAGCTGCTGTTGTGCGTCTGTGACTCCGTACTTCCGGAGCAGATGTTGGCCAAAGGGAACCCGAGGCTGACTGTCATTCACATGGCGCTCAGCTATGCATGTGATTGTAAATTGTATTGAGGCAGGCGCGTGCGTAATGAAATTTGCAACCATATATGGAGAACAGTGAATGCGCCAACATCTTCTAACAAAACCATGCCACACAGTGCCAAACCCCGGCGGGAGCCCCTGCTCTCTTCCTTTCCCATGCTCAATCAGCCCATCAGCGTGATTTCATTTCGCATAGATTTGTTTTGTAGATGTCATCCAGAATTTTGGTGTTGCCTTTTTATTGTAAGTACTTCATTGGTAAACATTTCAAGATGAAATAAAATATTTTGCACAAATGTCGGCATGCGTTATCCTGTTTGTGTGCATTAGTATGTGTGCGTGTGTGTGTGCGTGTGAGATGGTTTATGTGTGTGCGTTTCCGTTTCCTGTAACTTGGAAATCTCGTTGTCGGCTCGACAATTGTCACAACTTTCGCTACATGTTTTGTGGTTTTTATTGCGTGGGTGTTTTGGGGGCGTAGCAAACTTTTTGATATGTTAATGAGTTGTAAATTAAGTTTAATTAAGTTACATTGTTGTCGCCAGGCATTTTTCTTGTCAACTGCGGCGAGTGCAAGCAAAACTCTGCATGCCCTACGCAAACTTTGCCAAATTTATGTGTTTTGTAGCATTGTCTAATAGCAAGAGAGTGGAGGCAGAGTTTCTCAAGTTGTTCTGGAGTATTTTGTTGTCATTTGTATGCTTTGCTTGGATTAGTCAAAGCTTGATTGCAACTCAAGCAACTGCTCGTGAGTGAAAGCGAACTTTAGAATCTTAGATACTTCTTAGATCTATTGCCGAAGTATTAAAACGGAGCGCTATTGCGTCAGCCCATCCATGGACGTTGGGATTGAATTTTGCTCATTTGCTTGCTTTTCTTTCTTGGAAAATTCCTCGAGCGCTTTTTAAATAACTTAAATAACAATAAATAGTTAACTGCTTAGCAAATTTTTTGCATTTTTTCTTTTTAAACTTTATGCTGCGCTTACACAATTAATATTCACTTGTATTTTGCTTTACTCTCGCTTATTCTTGCTCATCTTTAAACCGCAAGCGCATTTATTATAATTAAGAATTTCTTCGCTCTAGCAATTTGCCAACATTTGAGCTTAAATTTTTATCATGCTTTGCTTTTAATGAAATGTAAAAAAATGTTTCTGCAGCCCGCGCATTGTTGTTGCAGTCAGAAGTTTGCAGGGCGAGGAGCAGAGTGCGACGAGTCCTTCATTAACAGCAAAATGTTAATAGATTTTCGACATGCAAAGCAGTTTCTGAACCAGGATTTTTTCAGCGGCTCCGAGGCATGATCGACTTATGAATCCCCTTTATGTAGTGGAAATTAGTCTATGTTGAACAACACTGTGCTTTAATGATATTTTATTGGGTATGGTATAAAGATTTATACAATTCGTAAAGAATTCGTATGAAAATAAATTCAAAATAATTATAAGAACTATATGTGTAGAGAGAAACTTATATATTTATAATCAAAAATTCATATTAAAATGTATAAAATATATAAAAAACCCACACAAACCTGATTTTTTGGCAAGAATTTTAAGAATAGTTCCTTTGCTTCAAATATGCTCATTGTTTTTAAAATTCTTAATTGTATTGACTAGATTTATCCAAAATTAATTGCTAAATTCGATATTACAAAGGGTATTTACATATTGTCATAGACAATAAACCACATTGCCAGCGAGTATGTAAATTTTCTTTGATTTTTTACTGTTATATTGCCGGCGCATGGTCTGGGCGGACAAGCAATTTATTACGAGGTGCTGCAGTCGCAGAATTTCATTACAAATTTGATTTGATTAAATGAACATAATTACAATGCAGATGAAACATGATGAGAGCTGGTCAAACGTCAACCAATCCTCCACGAGTCGGAGCCATGGATGGACAGAAGGACTTGACTCTCATATAAGTACTGGTCAATGTTTGCGTTTCATGAATCTGACATTTGGGGCGGTGCGGATCAGAAGGACGTATGGAGCCAATGACTAAATCACATCACGTGCCATATTGAAAAAAGGGCTTACGTACACATATTTTTTGTGCCAACTGTAAATCAGCATTCGTTTGATGATGTTGATCAGAGCCGAAACCCAGACAACAGCAGCAACAACAATAATGGTGGCGATGACGATGCAATTTTTCTGTGACTGTAAATTGACTTGCCATTAGATGCAGACAACCCGGGCATGCTATATAGATATAGTATACACTTATATATGTGTATATATATATATATATAAAGTAATGTCAATGTCAACAGGACAGAGTCAGGCACTTGGTGTGGCTTAAGAAAAATATGACAAACAGTTGGTCTCTCACGGAATTTATTAGAAATTGGCTTTGCCCTCGGCTCGGACATCTCGCAGGCACTTCGCTATAACACATTTTGCATTTAACACGTTCCTCCAAAAGTGCTAGCGAATTGTGAGCCGAGTCGAGTGCAAAATGCAATTTGAGGCCAAAATACGTGAGTTCGTTTAGTTTTGCTCAGTTGAGTGCGGGCGAAAACACGCACACAGATAGTCACAGAGAAAGCGAGCACAGTGGGATATTAGTATTTACATTTATTATAGGCTATCAATAATAATAATAATAATAAATACTATTTATTATTAAAAAAATATTAAATAAAACTATATTTTTTATGCAGGCACGAATGTTGACCTCTGTATGAACTATTTTTAAATTATTTTGTGGAAGTGATCGTCAGCTTGAAGATTGCTATAAGAGGTTAATATATGTTTTCAATGGAAAAATATTCGATAAAATCGTATTGCCCTTCTAAAAACTGATAAAAATAAAAATGTGTGTAAAAAAATACAGATATATATAGAAAGCCACATTCGAGTTGATAGCCTTTTAAGCTCTGCAAATTCTGTTCACGCATTCATTTTAATTTTCCTATTGTTTGGCTCCACAGTTCTTTGGGGTCAGCCTAAAAGTATGCTTTGGCAATTGCAAATTGTGATGGCAAGCAGCTTTTGGCTGCGTGCACAACTTTTGGTAAAGCGATATGCAGTCACAACTTATAGCTCAAGACCTCCGACTCCCTTTCTTCGCAGCAGCCCAGGTCATAACAAGTTTGAGTGCAACTTTTGTAACTAGACGCGTTTTTTTTGCTCGCACTTTAGAGGCAGGGTGTTCGGGGTGTTAGCCTGATTCAACATTTTATTGCAAAGCGGACGAAGCTGAGCAATGCCTTTGACGCACTGCGAATTATATGGCACTTGGACGCGCTTTGGCTTTTATTTCTTTTGATTCGCATATAATCAGCACTGTTGTTGATTTTCATTATGCACTCTGGATTTGAGTTTCCGTTTCATCCAAGCTATAACCCTGCCTCCCGCTTCCCCTCCTGACGCCTTTGGTCCTGGGCATTTGTTAGCCACGGCGTGGCTCATTAAAATCGTTTGGCTTTTGTTCTGCCTGCGGCTTTTTGCAGCCTGCCCCACTGCCTTTTGCTTTGTGCGGTGCTGTTTGTGGCTAACTGATTGCCTCTGGCCAGGAACTTAACTCATCTGAACTCAACTCTCAACTCAACTCAAATCAACTCGGTTTCATCATTAGACCGCAAAATCAGCATGTGGCTTTATGATTTATTTTGCTTATCGGCTAATTGAATTTATTGTGCTTCAGACATATTTCCTTGATTCACAGCTTGTGCTTGAATAAAAAACATGTATAGTAATGGATATGCATGGATATGCTTGCTTATAAATTCATTATTCAATTCAATCTATAAAAGTTCTTAAACCAAACATCTGGTTAATTATAAAAACTCATTATATCCATTAAACATTCTGTAGTAAAATAAAACTGAGGAAATATCATTCGACTGAATATAATTTTTTTAACGACATCTACTAAGTTTGATGGTTTTTTGCATGCATACTCTGATAAATATCAATGTTTGAGCAGAAAAACATAATTTTTTAGAGTAACTTTAATTGAGGTATTTATATTAAGGAAACAAAGTCTTATAAATCAACTTTTGTTTTAAATATTCCTTTTTAAAATTTTCTTGTGCTTTTCAGCTCGCTAAAGGTGTTTTTGATAACATTGGAGTTTCTTAAAAATTTTCTGTTTTACTATTATTTTAACACCTTTTGAATTTTATTTATAAAAGCAATAGTTTAGAAATTAAAATAAATATGAAAAAACACTTTAAATCCCTAAGTCTACAAGGACATTTAATTTTCTATGTTTGGGAAAGCAGCTTTTCTATCAAGTTTTATTTTGTATACTCTCAAGACATAAGTCTATTGTTCCCATGCTTGAAAGAAGCTCTCACTGTCTAATGCGTTTTGTAGTTGTCAATGTCTTTGTTTCGCTTTGAGATTGGCTATATTTGATGTGGGACTCTGTGGAGTAGTCACTACACACAGGTAGAGCCTTAATACTAATCTGAGTTGGTAACTAACGTTATATCTATAGCAACCTCAGTGCTTCTTTTATTATTCACACAATTCGTTTAAGCGCTGCAAAACACCTCGCACAAACCAATGCCAGAAACCTCAAGGGGCAGCAGAGCGGATAGCACAGAGTCTCTCAATGAGAATTATGGGTGTGGGCGTGAGGGCGTGGGTATGAGGCGAGCAAAGGAGGCATCAGAGGCAATTGCAGCAGCGGCAAGCTGCATGCTCATTTAAAATTGAACAAGTGTTGGCTTGGTCACACTCAGCAACACTCACTTACACCTACACTTACACACACACGCGCAACTGGGGCGGCCACAGACGCCACAGAAAGCCGGTCGTTGTGGAGTGGACCAAAAAAGCCAGCCAAATCGCATTTAAATGGAAATAAATGTTGTGTCCAAACAATTTACAAAAACCAATTTTACAATGTAATGCGTTCAGAGTTGGCGCATCAGCCAGCCTGCACATGTGTGTGTGTGTGTGTGTGCCTGCCCAGAACGTGTTCAACAGCAGGCAATGAATGTCCTGACATTCGTTCTGACGCTGGTGCGACTCTGGGGCGTCTTTTGGCAGCCACTGCCACACGGCAGCCATTGACACAATTGCCGGCGACATCACAGTCCAAAAGTTTTGCACACAATTATGAGGCTAGGCGCTGATTATGGAACCAGTGTTGCATAGTTCTAACCGAGTCAAAAATGCTGCTGCCAGTGCACCAAATGGTAACAATTTTAAATGCAACCAACCAACACACACACCCACACACCCACATTGCACTTCAGACCCACACACAATTTTTATGGCTCGCTTGTTAGCAATTTTCGCCTCAGAGTTATGAGCACTATGAGCGGTGTTTGCGACGAGGCGGTCTTTAATGCTGTGGACGTAAGGAGTGTGTGAGGGCTCAACGCTAACCAAAATTGAGTTATCAGTTTGTTGGCTCTGCCAGCAAATGTGCTTGGGCTGATTGCGTGACAGCTGCTGCTGCACAAGAAGCAGAAGTGGGGAAAAAATAGCGTCCAACCAACTGATTTGTCAGAGGAGCAGGAAAAATGTCAAACTACGTGATTTTTATGCGAATGCGACTGTCGATACGCAGCCAGAGTGAAAGAGTGAGCAATAGGTGCAGACTGAATGAGTGAGTGAGAAAACCAGGAGCCGAAGTAGGATCTACCGGGTCTGGGTACCACTTTTTATCTGCTGCTTCTGCTTCTTCTGCTGCTTTCCATATATACACTTTTTTTGCAACCAAAATATTAGCCTGCAGTCGAGTTAGCTGAGTTTTTAGCTGCGGTTTATTATGTGAGCGAGTGAAGTGAAGCTAATTTAAAGTCAATGTTAGGTTTGGGGTGAATTTTTTCGTTACTTGCTAACTTAATATCTGAGCTGTGCCAGGCAAATGATTTGTCAGGGTTTCATGTTGCATGCCACTTGGACTTAATCTAAAAATTGATGAGCAAACGCTGAAACTAATGGAAGGGTCGAACGAAGGCTACACTACAAGCATAAGTGTTTAAGGATAAGTTTTGAGGAAAGTCACTTGAATATAGTTAAGCATTCGCTGAATCAACAGATCGCGTAGGTAACAATTTAAAACATATAGAAATTTTCATATAAATAGCAAAGAATACGTTTGTAGCTTAATATTTCGTTCATATTTTACTTAATATTTCAGTTAGCACTTTATTAAGCCATTGAATTGTTCGTCTAAATCCACTTTGACAAAGCCTAAAGAGCACCCATACTGAAGGACACATTAGAAACATATGCTGGCGGATGTGTACCCAAATAAAAATCTCTTTAACTCGAACCGAACCCTGGCAAGGCTGGCAAGCAGCTCATAAAGTAGCTGCAACCTTTTTCACTCTTTTATGTGGCAAGTCCCCAAGCTGAAACCTTTTGTCGAGTGCTTTTCAATGCCAAATACCAAACTAAGCAATGCACATATGTTTCCCCTGGCAGGCTCCATTAAATAAAAGTTATGTACCCAAAGCCCCAGCCTCGAGCCCCAGCCCCCAGCCCGCCCAGCTACTACTTGACAATCTCTTTTCAACACTTGCACAAATATGTCGCCTCACAATAAGAAAACAAGCGGAAAATAATAAAAATAAAATACAAAAAAAGTTGCGAAAGGGTTGAAATAAAAATGGAATTAAAATATGTGAGTTGGTAGCCGGAAAATATTGCACCTGCAGCTGGTCTCATTGGACAGGCTCAAGCAGCAGGCACTAGTACAACACATACACAAGCACACACACACCAACACTTACACACAATTTGAGCGACCATTACCAACCATTTTGACCACAATAAAATGACAAATGCCCGAAAAATCTGGCCATGTTCGCACACGTTGCCAACTGGTTACGGCTACAGAATTCTGCTACAGCTATAGCCACAGCTCCTGGTACAGCTTCTGCTCCGGCTTTTGTGTGGCAGATGCTGTCAAACAAGTCCCGTGACGAGCATTGCAACGGCATGTCCACAGCGGGCGGAAGAGCGCGTGTGCTTCAGCCCAAACTTGAGCCTAACAAGTGTCGTTTGGCTGTCAGAGCTGGACAGATGGACAAGCTGCCAGACAGACAGCTCAGGCAGGACCTGGCAGCATGCTCAACAGCCATCGGATTTTGAGAGTGGGAGGGGCGTGGCGGACCAGTTTTACAAGCAGTCAACGGTGGATGCTAAACCCGGCATTGACGACAACCAGGAACAAGGCCCAAAGCCTATTAAAAATCATGCTAAACGGCAGTAAAACAATGTGTGGACTGTCTGGTCAGTTAGAATGTGGGTTTGGTTGCTCGAATAAGGGGGTTTGTGGTGTATTCTGCACTTGTTTACTGCCTGCCTGCCTGCCTGCGCATTGGCGCCCTTTGCTTAATGTGCATTAACAGCAAAGTTATGCAAGTCGCTTTGAGCCAATAAATAAAATTTAATCAGCTTTTGCAGTTGCCAATCGAAAATTGAAAAACTGAAAATCAAATAAAATGACGCGCAAAATGCCAACAAGTTTTGTTGCTTGGCTCGAAAACAATTTTAAGTCGATTTGCGATGCGAATCGAGCAACTGACAGCTGCAACTTCTGCTGCTGTTGTTGCTGCTGTTTGTTGCAGTTGCACTTTTGCCTGTTTATGGCATGTTGGCAACAGCCCCGGCAACTTCTTAGCTGCTTTCTTTGCCATCATCTGTCGACAACTTTGTGCTTTGCTGCATCTCTCAGAATGTCAATGGCATCCGATGAGGACATACCTTCCATCCGCCTTGACTGCGTTATAAATATATCGAATAGATTGTAAACTGATATATGTAAGAATAGATAGGAAGTTCATCAAGTACATCTTATAACATATTTCACTTCTAAATTATTATGCTTTTTGGTCTTTAGTGTTTTCGTTTCAAGAAACTTAAAGTTAGAATTTAATTTTAAGAATTTTCATCGATTTTCTTTCCTACCAATGATTTCCAAGAAGCTAATGTTATTATTTTACTTAATTCTTATTGTATTAGTTTGCAATAAATATAGAGAAATTAATATTACCTAAAAAGGTTACAATTTGAGGGCAAAAATACTTAGTTTGCAATTCGATTTGAAATGCCTAATCAAGTCATCCTTGAAATCCATTTTTCTTGAAACCACCCTAGGGGCTTCAACAACTTTTATTCAGATGTGTTTTCGTTACAGGCCTGCACAGAACAGACTTCGATTTATTAATAAAACAGAAAAAACTAAAAAAACCTAAAATTATTTTGTGAAATTTTTTTGTTGCTTTATCCGTTTGTGATCATAGACAGTTAATTTTTAAAAAACCTATTCAAAATTCTAAGTTTTATAAATTATTCTCAAGATGAAGCACATGAATTGCAAGACTTTCCGAAGCGTTCTTAGCTTGCACCGCGCCAGTCGCATGATTAATATCCGTTTTGCATGTGACGCTACGACTACTGGAAAGGGTTTGGTGGTTGGTGTCTATTTAAAGGAGGGTGACAAGGACCCAAAGTTGACTACTTCTGGAGAGAAACTCAATGACCGCACAAACGGAAAACTGAAGCAGCTGATCTGCGAGACGAGGGTAGATGGTCGGCTAGGACGTGGCCGTGTTTTTAACAATATTGATCCTGACTATAGCTCTGTGGCCGTGGTGGGTGTGGGTATTGAAGGAATTGGCTTCAATGAGCTCGAAATGTTGGACGAAGGCATGGAGAATGTACGCGTGGCCGCTGGTGTTGGTGCGCGGTCTTTGCAGCAACAAGGCTGTCACTTAATCGCTGTAGATGGCATGGACTATGCAGAACAAGCAGCAGAAGGCTCTACTCTGGGCGTATGGCGGTTTACTGATAATTTGAATAAAAAGAATAGGATTGTTACGCCGCGATTGGAGCTTTATGACTCATCCGACATGGATGGTTGGATGCGAGGCGTTTTTAAAGCTGAATCGCAGAACTTGGCTAGGCGCCTTTCAGATGCGCCAGCTAATTGTATGACGCCAACAATGTTTGCTCAAGCCACAGTGGATGCTCTTTGTCCATGCGGCATTACCGTTGAGGTTCGTACCATGGACTGGATCGAGATGCAACGTATGCATGCCTTCCTTATGATTGCCAAGGGTAGCTGTGAACCACCAGTGCTACTAGAGGTCAGTTATTGCGGAACTAACCCTGACGATAAACCAATTCTGTTTGTCGGCAAAGGCATTACATTTAATTCTGGTGGTATTAATCTGCGACCATGCCGCAACATGGATGAATATCGCGGTAGCATGTCTGGAGCCGCTGCTATCATTGGTATGATGCGTTGTATTGCAGCTCTCTCGCTGCCAATTAATGTTACTTGCGTTATACCTTTATGCGAGAACATGCCCTCTGGCATGTCGGTAAAGCCGGGTGATGTTGTTACCATGCTGAACGCCAAATCAATGGCCATACGTGACGTAGACAAGGCTGGTGTCGTTGTGATGGCTGATCCCCTCATTTATGGCCAGGTCTCCTACAAACCTCGCCTCGTTGTGGATGTGGCCTCGATTGGCAAAGGTGTAAAGAACGCATATGGTGGTGGCGCTTCCGGTATCTTCTCCAACTCGCACTATGTGTGGAAACAATTCCAACGGGCAGGATCATTAACTGGTGACCGTATGTGGCGCATGCCACTTTGGAATTACTATAAAAATCAAGTTACGGACGAGACTGGCTACGATGTGAGCAATGATGGTCGTGGTCAAGCTAGTTCCTGCTTGGCAGCCGCTATCCTACATGAGCTGGTACCATGTGCCGATTGGGCCCACATCGATACCCGTGGTACAGGTTTGTTGACAATGTATGGGATTATACCTTATCTGACCGCACGTTATATGACTGGACGTCCAACAAGAACTCTGGTACAATTCGTTTACCAGATGGCATGTCCTGAGATCAAGTAATGTCAATGAATGTGTTTGTGATGGTTATTTTCATCTGTTTTGAAGTTGAGAAGTGAAGCCCTATAGCGTTGAATTATTCTGTATAAAAACCGTTCATTGCCATAATTGTGTGATTATGGCATCGAAAGTTCATGGCTGCTTAGTGTCCTACAATAGGACTATATTAATGTATCTATAATAATATATCATTATCTCCTGGACTCTAAGCTGCTTCTTCAGAATATATTCCTCTTGAATATTTACAGATACACACATTGTTAATAAAATGGCATTTTGCATTAAAGTGTGCAGTACATTATTTCTGCTCGGGCGAAGAAATAGATGAAAATACGAAGATGAAACTGTAAAGAAAAGACGAGCAAGTTACCGCCTTCAAACATTTCAAGAAAATCCAAAAGGAGCACTCGGTATATACAGACGCACACGTAGACTGCCCTTGCATATCTGCATCAATCGGTTCGGTTTGTCAGTGGGGACAGACAATGCCACAATCTGTAGACTGCAGTCTGCTTTCAGACGCATCGTAATGAAGAAGCCGTTCGCATTGCTTTTGTGGCCTCAACCAGGTAGCAGACGATGGCAAAAGCTTTCGGTTTGAGTTTGCGTTTGTGTTTGGGCTAACGACATTGAAAATGCTTGTCGAACTTGAAAATTATTCGATTAAGTGCATTACCGGCGAGACATGGATCGGCATTCAAACTGAATTGCGCACAGTACCCCAACCCAGACCCACACACAGTCCACAGTTCCCATTCCCAGCCCAGCTGTGCTCAGGCATTGGAAGGTGGAACGAGTGAAGCTATGCTGCATGCGCTTCATTGTTGTGACTGCGACATTGTCGTGTCTGGGGAGTTGTTGTTGCTGTAGACAGTTGTTGCTCGGGCAGTTCGCCTTATTTATGTTGATTGTGTTTTTGCCTATGCCAATCAATGGAGCACACTTTCGGGCGCGTTAAGCCTTTGTGGCGCGCCCCAAGGTATGCTTTAATTTAATGCATTGTCACTGGTAGAAAGGCCGCTAAGTTGAAGCTGAGCGAACGTTAAGGGGGAATTTCTGAAATCGATTTTTATTCCATTCCTTTCTCATGTTAATTTTTATGCCTTGTGTATTTCATTAAAATGCACTGAGCGAGTTTTCAAAATGCTTTGGTGGTGTGTTTGACAGGCTTAAGAGATTACAAGAGTCCTTATAGAGAATATATATATTTATTTACATATAACATAACTGAAATGAGCAAACGAGTGGAAGCTATGTAGATGCCAGTGTTAACATGTTTACCTGGAATATTTTCAAACTTTTGAGGTCTTTGCCAGTGGAGTAAAAATAGAAGTGGTCCCATTACCTAAAGTTGTAGCACTTACCGCTTTGTCGTCTTGGTCATGCACATAATGCAGGTCGTTTGCAATCTTTCCGCCCTCTAACTGAGCTGGCAGAGATGTGGCCAGCATTCCATGGTGTTGCGTGTGCGTCGGATGATGCACAATGTGTTCGATTGTGGTCAGGGGCTGCTCATCGCGGATACCTTCGTAGCCGTGCGACAGTCCGTGTCCGGGGTTGAAGTCAATGAAGGAGCTGGGCGTGGGCACCTTGGTGGCAGCGGTGCTCGCCAGAGCTGGTTGCTGCTTAACATCATTGTTGCCCGGTTCCACAATGGGCACATACTGTTTTGTCTTGGCCATGCCAATCAGACGACCCGGTTGAACGCCCAGCGAACCGTGCTCTGCTATGGCCAGAACAGGAGCTGGTGCCAGTTGTGAATGCTGCTGCTGCTGCTGCTGCTGCTGTTGTTGTTGCTGTTGTTGAGTCTGTCCGGGATGAAAAAGTATAGGAGCAGTGTTGTCTTGGGGACGGGGATCCGGTATTTGGGCAACAAGCTGTTGCTTGGGCTGACGTTGAAGCTTTGCCTGCATTTCCTTGGCCAGCAGATAGGTAAGTCCGTGGATTTGATCGTCGGGCGACTTGCCAATCAGCGTGGACAGCTCACGAAATTCGGGCAACTGCTTATAGTGCTCCTTAACACTATCCGCGGGCGCAAGGTACTCGATTTTAATTAGAGGCGGCGTGGAGGGACTTGGCTCTGCTTGAACCTCATACTTGTACTGCTCAATGGGTCGACCATAGATGGGACTCGACTCCACTTGCAGCGGGTCTGGCTTCGACGGACGAAACTGTGGAACTGCTACATTGCTGGCAGCATGTTGCAGTTGCGCCTCAGCTGCTGGTGCTGGTAGCTCGTGTGTGACCAGCTCCGCGCTGTATGTATGATGCACTTGTTCGATAACAGGCGCCGCATGGGCGACTGGCGCTGGTTCTTGCACAACAATGGGCTGTGGTATTGTGGGCGCGGCTGGGTATACTTTGCCATAGTTGGGCTTATAGACGTATCGCAGTTGCTCCACAACGGGCACGGGCTGTATGTGCACTTGAACTTGTGGTTCCACTGGCTTAGCAGCCACATACTTGATATAAGCCGCTGGCTTGGGCACATAGGCAACTGTCTTAGCCTTGTAATGTTCGTAGTCAGTCTTTTGGGGTGTCAGATACTTTATGTACGCCTTGCCTCCGTTGCCCTCCTTAATGAGATGCGTAATAACCTTCTGCACTTCGTGCGGCAGAGCACTTAGGGACTTCTTAGTCTTGATATATGTGGCAGGCGCCTCCTTGTAGATATACATGCGTTTTGACTCGGCTGCAGCCTCTTCCGACATCACCATGTTATCGTCGACGCGTGTCTGCTGCGTTGTAGCAATCGGTATTTGGCTTTGATTCATTTGCGTCACTTGGGTCTCCATGGTCAATAGGCTAGACAGCTGCTTGCCGTTGCGCTGTAACGAGGCTGGCAACGATGCTTTTGCATCAGACAGTTCAAACTTGAGCACCTGCAGCGGCGCTGAGCGTTTGGAGCGCTTAGTCTTGCGTTTCAGCTTGCGTTGAGATCGTGTAGTTGGCTGCTCCGCCGAGGCTGCAGTTGGTGCTCTTTGCACATCCAAAGCTCTTGCGCGATTAATTAGCTGAGCGGTAATTGCATCCGGCTCACGTGCATCGGTTGCCTCGAAGGGTATCATTTGCACCTTAAAATTAGCCGGCTGGCGATGTCCTGCAGATCGTCGCGAACGACGTGGCTTGCGTGATTTCTTGCTGCCAGCGGTGTTGCTAGCCGGTGGCTTTGCCGTACTACTGGGTGATGCGAGTGCCTTTTCCGATCGATCCTGATGCTGGCGCACAAGCAGCTTCACCTCCTGGCTAGGCTCCACTGCGTCGCTAAGCTCAAACCGCAACATGCGTGGCGCTGTAGGCAGCTGACGCTCATCCCGCTTGGTGCGTGAATGTGCAACCAGGGAGGGACTTGCTGGCTGTTCGTTATACTGATTGAAAGCGGCCAAGTAGCTGTCATCCGTGGGGTTGTCTATGTGCCGCATGCTACGCAAGTTGCGCTGATCAAAGTAACGCTGCATGTCCTGGAGTATGAACGCAAGAATAAAGTGATAAGTGTATTAGTGAACCCAAAAATATTACAAAAATTAAATTAGAAATTAATAGAATAAGATATTTTTCTATTAAAAGAATATTTTTGCTATTATTTATTTTATTTTCGTGAGTATACAATTTATTTTCGAAAAATATATTACAATATTTTATTGAATACAGTAATTAAAATTAACAAGAAAACCATCAGTTACACAAATATTTAAATATATATTTAGTTAAAGAGACAGCTTATTCTAGGACATTTTTGCAACCTTTTGAACAAGTGAACTAAAATGCATTGCCAACTATTGGATTTTTGGCTGGAAGAATTGATGTTTGGGTTTCGAAATCGAAGTGAAAATCAAATCAATATTCAAGGATGGTATTAAAATATTTTTAAATAATAAATAAGAAAAATTATATAAAAAAAATGATTTTTTTATTGAAAATGAGAAATATTCACAAATTTTATCTCATTTTAAAATTAGTTGGTTTAGAATGACTTTAGTTTCTTAAGTTGGCAGTGGTCGCCCAGGAGATGCCCTTAGCCCTGCTCAAAGCTAATATTCTACGCTTCTTTCACACAAACATTACAAACAAAGCACTCACATAAGCAAGCACTCTGTTTGCTGGGCACTTTATTAAGCCTATTAAATTTTCACAAATTTTAACCTTAATTTCCATTTCCAATCGTTCTTCATAATTTTAATTAAATTTGTATTAAATTTGAGCATAATCTTACCTCATAGCTGGCAAATGTGTCAAGGGAGGGAAAACGCTGCCAGTTTTCTGCAGCTGCAGCTGCACCCAATAGATGCGAGGCAAGCAGCAGTACCTGAAACAGAGAGGGAGAGTTGTTTACAAGGCTAACAAATTGATTAACTGCAATGTTGGCATTCAACTTGAGAGATCAAATAACTTGGCTTTGCCTTTGCGCTTGCAGTTTATATATATTTATATTTGAGCTGAGCCCATAAATAAACCAAATAAGCTGTCCACCTGCAACCGCTGTCTGGAACTTTCACTTTCGAGCATGCCACATTTGGACGGAAGCTGCTGCAACTGGCAACCGGCACTTGATTCTCGGCTGCATTAAACTCGTTGCGCTCGCGCTGCCAGAGTTGAACGTTTAGCGGTTCGTTTGCGCTGCGGGGTGCCCAGTCGCCAGATCTCTTGCACCCTGGTCGCCCCAACCTGTCTGGCTATTGGCATGCCCATTCATGTGTCTGGTTCCACTTTCACATCAGCCAACGTTGAACTTGTGCCGCGGCTTGGCTTGGCTTATATGGTCATTAAACTTATTGATCGCATTGTGGATGTTCAGCATTGGTCAGCATTAAATTGCATTGCCTAACTCTTGGTTTATGCAAGGCCAATTTTGATATCGCGACTCTCTGGTTATGCAATGTCGGCCAAGTAGCCACTGGGACTTATTAAGTGATATTTAGTGGGAATATTGGATTGATATTATATTATATGTAGGATGTAGCTGTCTTTAGGTTGAGTTGAGATGTTCTAATTGATATTCAGATGCCAGTTTTATAATAAAACTATATATTGAAACAGTATCTATATTAAAATTAATGAAAGTTTTTTGATAGAAACAAGTTGCCATTTATAGCAGCTGTTTGGTCTGATTGAGTCAGTTGATTCAGACAATATCATTAAAAATATCACCTATCTATATATAGTTGATTAAAACGTAAAGCTTTTTATTTGCTGACTCACTCAAAATGTGGCTTTATGAGCATTTTGCGGAGTAGCTTCTCTGTGCCGTATAGTCAATGGCCATTTAACTAAGCTCCGCGATCCAAATCCAAATGAACTGTCAACAGTCGTTAAAAATGCAACCGCGTAAACATTTAACGGCCGTTAAAACTGCGCCTGAGTGAATTTTTATGAACTTGCCAAGCAAACCCGCCACAGCAGTGACCCCTTATTTCCCATACCGCAGTTCTGGCTCATGAATAAGCCTCTAATGCGCCTACCTGGCAGCCAACTTGTCCTGGGCTCCACTTGCTGCCGAGCACTGCACTCGTTATCCTTCTAGTTGCTGTCAACGGACCCAGCCCTTTAGACGGTCTCCCTTTGGACATAAAATTTTATGTGCTTTCTATTTAACACTTTGGTGTTATGGGCAAGAGACGGCAGCTGGGGCAGTGGGCGTGAAATGGATATTCGTTTCGTTTGGGGCACGCGTCAAAACTTTAAAATTCAATAGAAAACTACATTAAAAAAATTGTTGCTATTCTTTTTTGTCTTTGTTGCTGTTGTTGTTGTTGCTTTGGTCGAGTAATTGTTGTTTCACTGCGCAGTTTTTATGACTGTGAAAACTAGTTAACAATTTTTATGACCGCCAAGAGCGACAACAAAAGATTGTCAACATCTTTGTTCAAATATCTTTCGCTTTATTGGCTCACAATTTAAGCGCAGTTTAATTTTATTGATATAAGCGTATATTGTTTTAATAACAAGAAATCTCTGTTTGTTTAAGAAAAGCTTTAACAAATAGCCAATGGTTTTTGCAAATTGAAAAAGTGGAGAAAATATTTTTCTCATAGTTCAAGACAATCAATTGAAAAACTTGATTCCGCTGATAATTCAATTTTTGTGTGTTCAGATTTCCTTAAATTTCATTATGAAATTTAATTCTAGCCTATTCTTAAATAGTGAAGCCTCGTAAGATTCACTGTTGTTTAAGTTTTTGTTGTTTGTTTATTTCTATTACTTTTTTGTTTTGCTGAAAAAACCACGAAACGCGTGCAGGCGTTTTCATTAAGTTGTTGTTGCAATTGTTTTTGTTTTCTTAATTTCACTTGCAAATTGTTTGTTGTTTTTGCTGTTGCTGCGGCCAACAAGGCGGAAAAACGTTGCAAGACAGTTAAAGAAATTGGGCCAGGCAAAAGGCAAAACTTGGCTAATTGTGGCTGGCTGCACAAGAAGAGGCAGCGACTGGTAGGGTCCAAGTTGTAGCTAGTCCAGAGTTCCCCAATGCCTGCACACTCTGAACCAGTTTTTATTGCTCTCTTTTTTTTATAGTATGTTTGCATAGGAGTTCGTAACGAAAAACCAAAGTCAAGTTCAATGCACATAAAAGGCAGTTAGAGATAGGAGCCGTGGTAGTGGCAGTGGCAGTGGCAGTGGTGGGGCAAGGGGGCAAGCGCATTTGTCTCAGTCCTGCCTAGTGCTGAAAGTCAGGCCACAAGGAAACGCGCTGTGAGAAAATGCACAAAAGAAATGTGAAAATTGCCGCAAAGTTTCCATCCATTTAAATTGCAAATTTCCAGTTTCGATTGCAATTGGCAAAATTTTTTTTTTTAACATTTTTTGCGCTTGTTTTTGCCAGGGAGGTGGGTGCTATTGGATTCGGACCGTCTGTGGTTAGATAACCGTAAACATTTTTATGAACGGGGGCCGAGGTCGTAAAAGCAAATGCCACAGGAGCGAGACTTGCGCAACACACTCGAATCGTATGAATAGAGCGAAATGGAAAGCATTTCGAATATTTGCTTTATGATTTTACAGGCCGTAATTAAATGGTTGCGGCCAATGGCAAATCTAACACAGCAAAAACCTCGAGAAATATGGCCAATTGTTTTTACGGCCAATTGAAGTTCAAGTGCTTCGAGTAAAAAAAGAAAAACCTCTATATGTGTGGTGGCACTTCCGTCTGGGCGCATAAATACGCGTGTATGCAAAAATAAATTATACAGAATGGCCAGTCGTATGGAGCGTCAGCTTCCGCTGCTTCAATCAGTCAGAGCCGCAACAAGCAGTCGTGAAAAACTGTAGCGCTGAGGCGGAAAAGCGCATCAACTGCAGTTTTTCATTTTCTGCATTTTCAGCTCACACCTGACAATGGCCCATTGAGGCGTTTAATGGAAAAAATTATTCGACAGTTGATTTTTCGGGCGCCATGTCCTTTTCATGCCTCGATTGCAGTTGTACCAGCAGCAGTTGCTGCCACGCCCAGTTGCCCAGTCAGCCCAGTCGCCCTACTCATCGGGTATTTATACATGTATATTATAATTCTTTGGCTGACCCTTTCACACTTACCAGGCACACGAGATAGTCGACTGTAGCCATTTTCCTTGTGGGCGACTGTCGTCGGAAGTGTGACAAATGAGGCGTCAACCTGGCAGCTTGTGGCAACTTAATTTGCAGCGCTGCTCGGCTTCTTCTTAAGCCTTTTCCCACTGACTCAATGTAAATTTTAATAAGCCTTTAAAGCAAGTGTCAGGCACTCAAGAGCTTAACAGCTTGTTGTTTGTCCTTCTGAACGAGTAGACAATTTATGTTTGATTTTTATGAAAAGTCTTCAAAGTTGAACAAATTGTTTTCATTTATAGCTCAGATTACACACTTAGCATTTTATTTAATGTGCTTGAACATATATTTTGCAAATATTACGTTATTTTATATTGTATTTTTGCACAATCTTTGTCCTTAGCTTTTCGTCTTGCGTCACTTCATTAAATTTATTATAAAATTTTTGCAAAATAATTCGTTTGGCGGGCATTCGGGAAAAAACAAAAGTTTGTCTATTTAATTTAACTTTAGCTTTGCGCTTTGTTTAAACTTGGTCCGTGGCAGTCGACGTTGGCGCCGTTCGTTTCTCATTTATTTAATGCGACTTTTAATTTGAGTTGAGTTTTCTTTTGTTTACTTTCGACGCTAGAGGAAAACCGCACGCTTGCGCGGTGCTGCAGCAACTGTGCCTCAAATTTTCGCGCCACTTCAGTTTTGTGTGTGTTTGCTGGCTCGCAATTTTCACAAAGATCCCAGCCAGTTTTTCAGTTTTTCCAAAAGTCGTCGTCGCTGTTGCAGTTGTCGTTGCAGCAGTTGTTGCTTTAGCTGGTGTGGCTCTTGCATTTTTCATTAATTTTTCTTTCCTTTTTTTGGAGATTTGAGAAGAGGGCATAATTAAATGGTGATGAGACTTGGCATTCAAACATGCATTTCCGAATTTATAATACAGAAATTATAATTTTAATGCATATGGATAAAGCTTTTCGCCAATAAAAATAAATTCAAGCAAATAATCATACATAATGTTGTACTGAAAAAAAAATGTATAAAATTTTATTTTTAGTATAATTTTATGTGATTGCGATAAGCTATGAGATATGAAGTGAAATCCGTTTTTTTTGAATTTTTCTGTTGGCTAATTTTATGGGATGTCTTAGTAGAATAAAACAATGTAAAATAATTTAAATAAAATGATAGTTTAGTTTTAAATTTACATAGTGTAAATACTAAAAAATTAAACACTAGAGAAATATAAATAATCATTATAATAAACTTTCATGTCAGTCCCGTTGAATTATTCTGCATTATTCACTATTCTGCTTTTTATTCAAATAATATTTGTAGGTATTTGGAGAAATATGTAGTTGGATGGAGAAACATATAAATGAAACAAAACCTCGAAAAGTAAGCCTTCTTATTGCATTGCAGAGCATACATGCTTCGGTTTGCAATTGTCCCTAGCTGCAGCACTTGTTTATTGCCTGCATTTTCAGTGGTCTGCTCGTTGGTATTTGTCTTTGGCCGTTGGCTGCAACTGCAAGACGCATTTTTGGCCATGGCTTTGGCCAAGTGCCTGCAAACTTTTGACCATAAACTTTGCGTTGTGCGAGGAGTTGTTAATGTTGTCGGAGTTGTTGCTGTTGCCCGATGTTGTTTATTACAAAAAATAAAAATAAAGATATTTACGCGTTTCTGCGTCAAGCTTTAATACGTTGCGGGCAAGCTTAGTTGCATAATTAATTTGCTAATTGCAGCAAGTTTATTATGTTTGTACGCTCCACGCATTTCCTATGCTGTGCCGCAACACCCTTTGCATGTCTGATTATGTGATTTATAGGAAGAATTTTGAACGATGCTGCCTGGCCAGGCCCGACCAGGCAATTGGCAAAACAATTGGCATAGGCGCGCGCGCCATGTGAAAGTTCAACGCTTATGCAACAGGCAGCCGCAGAGTCAACACGTTGCGAGCCGTTGCAGTCACAGTCACGCACGCGCCGCGGCTGATGAAGTAGCTGACAGATTAGTTTTATTGGAGGCAGCCGCGGCGAGATTGCTTTTTGGGTTTGACTTGAGTTATCGTTGTGGCGCATCTGCGGCGACTGCGACGATTAGTCCAAAGTTTGGCGCCGAAATAAAGTTAGCGATGATGAGGGGGGCTAGTGGTGGATACTTTCACATGACAATTGTGGGCTGCGCACAAGGCAGGAGTTGGTGGTAACTACGTTGCATTTGAAATTGAGTTATGAGCATTAGAGTTATGAGTGAGACAGTGGTGTAGATAACAATGGGAAAATAGGAGACTTATACTGTGAATGGTAGAAAATATGAATAAATAAATTTAAAAAAAATAAGTATGGAGAAATACATATATAGATAGATAGACAAATAAATAAATAAATATAAATAGAGATATCTATGCATTTACAGATAGAGATACGTATAAATCAAAATAAAATTAGATGAATAATTTGAAGAGCATAAACAGAGAGTTAGGTAAAATATCATAATTATGAATCTCTTGATATTTTGCGCGATTTAAAAATCGATAGATGGAACAATACAGAATTAAAGTATTACTTAACATTTACATATATCTAGATGATATGTAACAATAATATAACCGAGCAATTCCAATTTAGTTGTCAAACCATATCTTTCAATTCTGTCATATGCCAGCAAACATCTTCTCGTAGGCATTCTTTAGTTGAGCGCCCCCTCGCATAACTTCAGCCTTGTGCGCCAGAGGGCGTTGTGTGCTCAGCTCTAGGCCACATAATTGCAGTAATCGTGGCAGATTTACAATCTCGTAATAAATTCAACAGACACACTCACTCTCTCACACACAGATATGCGCATTTAAAGGCAAGAAGTAAGCTGCCGCCACCCTTGGACCCCCCGAGACGTAGGCAGTTACAGCTGCAATAGGCGGAAATCTCACACAGAAAGTTGCATGCGGATGCAGTCGTCGTCGTCTGCTCTGTTGGTGCGGAAGTTTAACCAACTAACAAAGTGACTAAGACTGAGGCTGAGATGACAACGGCGACGCAGACCAAACACTTTCCTCTTCAGCTCCCTCGCTCCTCTGCTGGCCACAACGTCTAACGCATGACAGAAACAACAACGAGAGGACAAACATTCACATCCATGAGGAACCGGGCGGCAACATTTTGTGGCCAAATGTGTTGCTGTTGACGCTGAGGCTTAGTGCGTGCGATTTAATTGTTGGACATGCAGTTGATGAATGGTCATGGTCCAGTTTTGACCAATCACAATCGCTAGTCGCATCCACTTAATCGCCGCTAAATTGTTTGTCCGCTTTTTGTAAATTTTTTGGTATTTTTAAACTTGGACAGTTGGTCATTTGGCTAGGAAATGGTTGCGGCTTTATTTAGCGCTTATATCGCTGCCAATGCCGATGCGATCAGTTTGTAAATTTTAATTGAGCCGTCGAATGCTTCCTTCATTGCCAGCTTGGATGCTGCTGCCTTAATTGTCTGCCACTTCCCGTTTTCGTGGTCGCCCGAGCAGCCCCGAAATCTAATTACGCCGCAGCCACACTCACACTTAGCCCAAAAACCAACGAGCGCAGCAAATTGACAACACAATAAACGTGGACGAGCAGCGGCAGAGGGAGCGAGGCAGACTTAGATTCTGAATTGGGGTTTGGACTGGCTGCAGGCATTTGGTTTATGGTATATGGGGGATAGGGAGTGTCACACATGTGCGGCAGTTTCTGATTTATGAACACAATTTCCAGTTTGACAATGAGCCGAGTAGATGGCACCCGTTTGGCCGTTTGGCCAGCTGGCCTGCCGACCGTTCGCCCGCCTCGGATTCGGATTCAGATTCAGTTACGGATTCACCCGGCACGGGAAGTTGCCAAAGTCCTTTGCTATCTGGGCGACAATGCAGGCCAGTTAGTTTATGGCATCGCACTTTGAACATTGGTAGGTGAGTTATGTTAATTGAGATTTTCGAACTGATATAATAAGAAATAGCAGCTGCGTCCTGACCAACGTTTAAAGGTCGCCTTCGAGCAGCCACTGCAGTAGCTGGCCTCTTTGCAGACAGAATCCGAGGTACAGAAAGCTAGTTGGTCAATGCTTGGTCATATTTCAGGACTATCTGCCAACTCGGTTGTCACAGAACTCACATAAAAATCAGCAGAGACAGAGAGACGATTAGGCGACAAAAGAGTTGTTCGAGGTATTAGTAGTATTCGCATTAGTAGTAGTACACTGTTATAAAATAATATATACATATATATATATATATAATAATTTTAAGCATTAAGTCACACACTTATTTAGAATTAACCCAGATTATGCCTATGTAACTTCATTCTTCAATGAAAAAATACGCTAAAAACTGAATAAAACTTTATTTTTATTGTTTCAATTTCAATGAAGATATCATATATATATATATATTTATCTATATACATATATATAAATATATATATAAGTACGACAAATGATGAGCATACCATTATATATAGGGCTTATAAATAATCGCACTCTTAATGGCGAAGATACTTAAAGATACTCAAAATTCAGACGAAGGCGAACGTTGCGGACGTTGCTTGATAGATGTGAATACTAGACGAGTTGTGGGTAGAAGGGGTAAAAGGCGCAAGGGGATGGTAAGAAAGCCCATACGAAGTCAACTGAAAAGTCATTTAAGGCTCCATTTCACAATACGAAATATCAACAGCTGAGGGGAAGTTTGGGGAGGGCGAGGTTCCATTACGCCAATGACAATGCCAATGTGTGTGTGTCCGATAGTCAAGTCCAATTGATAGGAGCTAAGGGAGTAACAGAGATAGATAAAGAGTAAAAGAGAGAGAGAGAGAGAGAAAGAGAGAGGGGGAGAGAGAGAGAGAGGGCAGCCTTGCAATATTGAACGTTTCCTCTTCGAGACAATTTGCCACTTTAATTGCCGCAATTTTTTGCCCATTTTTAAGTCAAATTCACTTGATGGGCTCTTGCAACATTTTCGTTATCGTATCTGTTGTTGTTGTTGTTGTTGCCGTTGCTGTTGTCAGTTCTGTTCGGTTC